TTATTGACCTAGAGAAAGCCAATGATAGAGTACCTTGAGATTTGATTTGGAGGGTGTTGGAACAGAAAGGAGTTTTCAGACACTACATCGACTTGGTGAGAGATATGTACGATGAAGCGCTAACTAGTGTGCGAATAACTAGTGGAGAGACGAGTGAATTTCCAATGACAATAGGTCTACATCAAGGGTCAGCATTGAGCCTATACCTCTTTGTCTTAGTTATGGACGACTTAACTAGGCACCCTCAGGATGAGGTACCGTGGTGCATGTTGTTTGTAGATGACATAGTTTCGATCGATGAGACCCAAAATGGTGTCGACGCAAAGTTGGAACTTTGGAGGGACCAAGACAGAGTATATTGAATGCAAATTTAGTAGTAATAGGAGTAGAGAGGAGGAAGTAGTTAAGATAAACGGCCAGGAAGTACAAAAAAGATCGCATTTGGATATCTTGGGCCGATAATCTAGGAAAATGGAGAGATTGAGGAAGATGTCGCACATAGAATTAGAGTTGGGTAGGCGAAGTGGAGATATGCAACTAGAATTTTATGTGATCGCCGCATACTTATGAAGTTGAAGGGTAAGTTCCATAGGATAGCTGTGAAACTAGCTTTACTTTATGGGGCAGAATATTGGGCGGACAAAAAATAATATACCCATAAACTGAGTGTAGTGGAGATGAGGATGTTGAAATGGATGAGTGGCAAGATTAGAAGCGATAGAATCCGAAATGAATCCATTCGAGAAAGTTTAGGTGTGGCACCAATAGGCTATAAGATGAGAGAGAGCAGACTTACGTGGGCTGGCAATGTGTGGCGTCGACCCAGTAAAGCACCTGTTAGAAGGTGCGAGTTAGTTCAAGTAGAAGGATTGAAAAGGGTAAGGGGTAGGCCCAAAAGGACATGGTTGGAAGTAGTCCAAAAAGATATGAGGACTTATGGCCTCACTGAGGGTATAGCCCTAAATAGAGTAGAATGACATACCAGGATTCATATAGCCGACCCCAATTAATTGGAAAAAGGCTATGATGATGATAACTTTTCAACAATTCCCCCCAAGCCTTTTTTCATTAATTGCCAACCTGGACATGACAACATCCTCATCCTACAAAGTGATTGGAGACCTGGTCTGATCACCTCGGTTCAAAAGATCTTATTGACTTGGAGATGCTAGATCTCTCTCCTTAGTCAGGTAGAGAGGCAATACATCCCTCGATCTCGTGATGATTGATTGATCTGGTCATCCTCTCCTTTTACTGAGCTTTATTCCTCAAGCTTGGTTCCCTATTGCCCCTCCCAAAGTACAGGACTTCAACTGGCTGGTTCTGTCTAGACAAGGGTCGAATGTAGACCAACTCCAACACTGAGGCATCCAAATGCCTAGCCAAAGTTCCCAGTGTATGGTGGAGGAGAAGTTCTTGTATCACCTCTTTATCCATTGTCCTTTTGCCAATCTCATTTGGTTCTCCATCCTTTAGTGGTTTAGCTGGTTTTAGGTGGTACCTCAATCAATCTAACAACTATTTGCAGCTTAATATGGCCCACTACGCACAGCTATTGGCCTGTTCTTATGGAGGACCTCACTATTAGCACTGTGTTGGTAAAGGAATAACAGATCCTTGAATTAAAACAGTTTCTGCCTGATGGAGTTAAATGTCAACGTTGAATTAAAACAGTTTCTACCTCGTATCTTTTTTTTTCCAGCTAAAAATAAGCTCAATGTCAACGTTCGTCCATGGTATACTTCATGCAGCAATGATCGAACATCGCAAGAGAGAGCAAACAATTTAAAGGTTTGGCTTATGGCAACCACTAGAGGAAGGCACTGTCAAGCTCAACTTTTATTGTTACGCTTTCTGCAATATTGGCCCTGCAGGGGTTGGAGGTATTTTTCAAGATCACTAATCCAACTCGCTCTCCTCATTCAAACGCCCCATTGGGACAGTAAACTCCACATTTGCGAAAACACATGCCCTTGTAATAGTTATTGAACTGTTCGAGTGATATTGGGGCAATGTTGTCATAATCAAGGGACGTGGTAAAAAAATGTCATCAGTTGGGCTTCAAAAGTCTCTCTCTGCCCATGGATGGATATTGGGGCAATGCTGTCATAATCAAGGGACATGGTAAAAAAATGTCATCAGTTGGGCTTCAAAAGTCTCTCTCTGCCCATGGATGTTGGAAGCACTTTTTTAGCATATATGGGACATCTCCAGCTCTACAAAGTCACATATAAACATGTGGAGAAAAGCCAATACAAGCACAAATGTCTTAGCAAAAGGAAGAGCTTTGGACCAAAGTTTTGTAACTATTGAACAATAGATAACCCCAGGCTGGACATGGTTTTAATCTTTCTCATTTTTGTATATGCAACGCCCTCATTTTTGACAAGATTTGTTGCACCTATTATATAAAGTGCTTTCTTTCTATTTTTCTGTTGACTGTTGAGATCTGGTTTGGGATCCTCACCTTGTTTTGGCGGGGACAGAGAGCCTGCCCGCTGTTTGATCAGTGGGCATGTGATCCATGCCGTCCCATGAGCTGAGCCATCAATTAGCAGTTCTGCTCATGGCGTGGTCTCAATGATTGTACCATCTTCCCTATCAGTGGTAGAGTCTCCTCCCTTCAAAGTCTGGCGGATGATCCCCATATATGGAAAGTGGCTAGATACTCCCTAGGGATAAAACTATAACAATGGTCCCTCCCGCAAAATTCCACCGACTTTGATTGAGAGGAGCCTGAAAGAACTTTGAGAAAGCCTCCAAGTTAGCAATTTAGTCTCCTCCAAATAAGATATAATTTGAAGCTTCAAAAAGATCCATATCCTTAAAATCCACCATACATTCAAATAATTGGTCAAGATCTTTGGTTATATCTTGTACTCCTGTAGTTAGATTTTTTATGCATCTTAATATAACCTTTTTACACTTTGTTATTGGTTTTTTTGAGAATATTTTAAATTTTTTTTTCGAGAATGGTTATAGATACAACAAACAGAAGTCTAATTCAATTTTGTTTTTAGGTCTCTTTAAGTGTTAACCAGTAAAGAGCTTTTCTTAGTTAACTTCCTTGGGGCATGGTTGGCAGGCATTAATATAATCCTACAAAAATGACAATACTACGATTTGTTATGTGAAATGGTACTTGGGCCTGTCACATACTTGGAAGCCCTTGCTGGTACTTACATTGCTCTTTCAAGAACATGTGAAAGTTATCATGGACTTTATGAAGACACTTCTATCAACTCACATCAACCTTTCTTGGTTATCAAAAAAAAAAACTCATACCAACCTTTCTTTTGTCATAAGTGGACAAGACGTGAATATCTTATACAAAGCTTAATGAAGACTGTCTCACATTTTCTTACCTCGACCTTTCTTTTCTAGGAAGTTCAACATAATAATATTGCAATTGCGACAAATTCAGTCTTATAATTCCCCCCTTGTAATTCTTAACGCCTAGGATCAATGGACGTTGAATTTTGTAAATGCGAGAGTTGTAATCATCATCATCATAGCTTTTTTCTAACTATTTGGGGTTAGACTACACAAATCTTGATCTGCCATTTTGCTCTATAAAGGGCATACCCTTGGGCCATTTGTAAAAGCAAGAGTACTAACATTAAAGGCACCTATGAGTTCAAGCTTGTTCAAGGTTCAATTGTCATGGTTCACACAATTTTCTGACCTAAGGGTGACACGCTTCGGTATACGTGCTTTAAGGAATGAAGTCCGTTCTATTATTAGCCATCATTCCTCTCTCTCTCTCTCTCTCTCTATCTCTCTCTCTACCTGTTCAGGCTTTTGAGCAAGCACAAAGTACTGGGGTAGAAATTTTAGAGAGATTAAAAAGGCTTTAGAGAGATAGAGAGCAAGAGTTGAAGGGTAAGGGTAATTTGGTCATTCCAAAATTATAAGTTTTCACTTATTTATGTGGGAGGGTTTCTCAGTAGCAAGAGCAGTGGCAACTCAGTAGTTATTGTAATGGCTCTCTCAAAGGCACAAGCGATCATCTCTTCCAACCCAGTTGTTGTTTTTAGGTAACTCTCTTTTGATAAACCTCTTTTGATGTTCGTTTTCTATGTTCTTTTGATTTAAGGTTTCCTTTTCTTTTGGAGTAGTTGGGTTTTCTTTTGATACAACTAGGCAATTTGAGTGGTTCAATGTGATTTTTATAGTGGATTTGGGGATATTTGTAATTGATCCCAAGGGTTTTGCAAGTTTCTGGTAGTTTAGGTTATTGTTTCTATTTCGGTGTCCGAAATATGAATCACATTAATTTTTTTTTTTTTAAATAAATTTTTTTTGGAGTAAATTATCATATTCAAGGGTGTTTTTCAGGCAATTTCTTCATGATTGAACTAAAATCTACCAATGGATTTCTGGTGATTGAACCACACTCATGATTCTTGTGGTTTTATTTGGGGATAATATGGGGTTAATAGCAATTTATTCTGGAATTTCTTTTGAACCAGCTAGTCAATTGGGATTTTTAATGTTCTCTTGTGGGATAATAGGTTTTAATGCAGGGAGAATTTAAAGTTGTTCCTTTAGTTTTTTTAGTTTTTCTGAGCCAATATTAATTTTGTAGTTGTATTTTGCTACCTGTATTTTGCTTCAAGCTGCTTCGAGGTTGGTTTTCCCCACATTTTCTTTAATTTTCCAACTCCAGTTTTTTGTTGCCTCAAAGAATCTCTTTGGAGAAGGCAATGTATTTTATTTCCCACCTTCTTTTCTTAAACCACAAATAGATATACTTTCTCTTTAATGTTTTTATTAGAATTTTTTATCCTTTTGTCTAGATTAATGTTTTTATTACTTATATGTCAAAATCCAATGTCCAAAACTTCTTTCCTTGATTCAGCATGCTTCATTTTTGTTGATGGCACAGTTTGGGTTCATAAGTACTGGTCTGACTATGAGAAATCACATTTACAAGGAAAAAGGATAAAACCATAATATATGAGAACTGAATAAGTATATGGTTTCATGTGTTTTTCCAGTAAGACCTATTGTCCACACTGTGTGCAAGTGAAGCAGCTTCTGTCCAACGTAGGAGCAAACTTTATGTTGTTAAACTGGATGTGGAGAGTGAGTCCCTTGCTTTTCCTTATTTCCTTTTTCTCTTTGTCATTCACTATTTTTCCTTAATTTTGGCTCATGGATTTAGTGGCCTAAATAGTTTTTTGGATTTATTCTATTAATTTTTTTTGGGGGGTAATTCATTGGGGAAGACATGCCTCCTACCCTTTTTCAGATAGAGTAGGGAGTTAGCTTTTTTGAAGGTGTTAGTGGGTGGTGTCAGCAGGATTGGAAACCACAACATGGTAACTAGGTATGGGGGTGCTACCACCACGACCAAACCCCTTTCCTAATTATTTTGGACTTGAAGTACTCATCTCTTTACACATGCGAGGAATGGGGGCATGTTGGCTCCTATCCTCTTGTGGTTAATGTGTCACCTTCTACATTAACATGATATCAAGACGTCATGTTAGTGCCACTAAACATGTGGTGAGTGGAAGAAAAAACCGAAGTTCCCATTGTGTGTGTATGTATATATATAAATATCTATTTTTGTGTGTATGCATGCTTATGAGATTTCTAACGGGTAGGGCTGGGAATGGGTCGGGTCGGGTCGGGTCTAGGTCGACCCTGATCTGACTAGTTAAAGTTGGACTCAGACGCAACCTGGTCTCTAAATAAAAAATGTATAAAAAATATGTATAATATATAATTATAATATATAATTAATTGTATTAATATGCACTAATTCTAACATGTATCGAGGCGGGCTCGGTCAGGTGGTGTAGACCCCAAACGGAGTTGACCTAACCCTATAATATTTAAGCTAGATCTGGACTAAGACCCAGGCCAAACCTGGGCCGGGTCACGGTCAAGTGGACCCAGACCCAACCCATTGGATCCAGAATGTAGGTCGAGACCCCGACCTCGACCCGGACCCAACCCGACCCTATAAGATCTAAGCTGGACCTGGACTCGGACTAGACTCGACCCGGGTCGGGTCAAGTTCATGTGGATCCAAACCTGACCTGTCGAGTTCAAATTCTGGGTCCAGATCTGAACCCGCTCTGGTCACCCCCTTGGGTCCATGGGTCAACTCCACTCAATTCCCACCCCTACGAGCGGCTTAGTTGAGATATGAAATGAATTTGAGCATAGTTTGACCAGCTCAGAATTGAGTGTGATAGTTGTTTGGGGGTATTATGTCTCAATAAAATTAATTACTAAGTAAAACTTCTCAGGAAATAGTATTTTAATTAAAAGGCCGCTATTAGCAAAGTGTATTGACATTAATAAAAAGCAGTCCCAAAATGACTTCAACATCGGCTTATCCGCTCAAAATGATGATAGAAGGCTTCTGACCAAAATGAGGAGCATTTGACTAGCACACCCTTAGATCGATGATCAGATGGCATAGAATACACTATGGTCAAACTTGGTCAAATCTCTCTGAGAACCCCATTCCAGCATTCTAAATTTTAACATGAGTGCCATAACACCATCCCCCAAATTTCAGCTGAAATCGAGCTCGAATGATAAAGATATGGATCTGGTAAGTCAGGAACCCATATGTGATGCCCTAAAATGGCTCTACATTTCCAAGCAACCCATTGGAAGTTGTATGCTAATGGTCCAATATTTTGCCAGATTGTAGGAACCATGGCAAAAAGCTCAAATCTCATTGAGGCCGATCAGATTTCGAGTCACCAAGATATGGTTCTAACAAGTCTAAAATTTCAAGGACCGACTCATTTTACAAAAGGGCCCCACCAAATATAGGCCCAAATGCCTTGCAATTCTTTTGGAAGGAAAGATTTGTTATGAAAGGGCTAAGCGTCAAATTTGTGGGCTCAATTCGAGGGAAAATGAAGATTGTTTCAAAAAGGAGTCCACTTAGCGCCTAAGCGATCGCTTAGGCAGCCTAAACGGGCCTGGGCACATCGGCCCCCCAACAACGTGGGTTGTTCCTGGGCATCCTCCTGGGGACCCTAGGACCCCTCCTAGGCATGGTACGAGGCGGGTGCCTAGGGTACCTGGGTGGGCACAGCCCGACTAGGTGCAAAAATTTCCATCGAGTGGGGTGTTTTTGTTTGGATGATGAAAAATGCATGAATCAAAATCTAGACCTAAACATGATTATTAGACACCCCTTACCCCATTTTGAACATCTTGGGCAGCCGCTTAGGCGCTGGGCGCCCTAGACCCCCCCAGCCACCTAGGTGCTGCCTGATGTTTTTTTGAAGATTGCAAATGAAGGAGACATAGCCATTACAGCTGTGTAAAACTTAGTGAGGGCCCCACTATGCAGCTTACTTTACAAAGCATCCTAGAGAAATCAATTGCCAAAATAGATAGAAATTTTATCGGAAGAAAATGCCAAAAAGAAAAGCATATCCTCCAAATTTCAGCCTGACCTAGTGTCCAGAAGTATATGTTCCTGAGCTTGCATGGTCGGATCCCAAATGGACAAATGGACTGTCAATCTTTTTCTGAAAAAGACCATAGCGAGTCATATAGTCCATCAGGCTATGGGAGTTGCAGCAGCCACGAGAATTTTTGGGCAAGTTCACAAAGCAATACCTCTCAGTTGCAATAACCAAATGGGCTCGAATTTTAGTATGTCGTTCCTTGTTACATGGGCTCTCAAAAGATATACATATTAAGGGGGTTCCTTGACTAAATCATTGGCTAATTTGAGGGAAAAAGAAGGGGGATTGAAGTCAATTGAAAAAGCTGCAGCTTCTATGATCTCCGATCATTCCTGGATCAATATCTCATGATCTGAAAGGTATTTTGGACTGAAATTTGGTGGGGAGGTTCCTCACTCAGTACTGCTCTTATCAATGTTCATAAATTTGAAGATAAATGTTGAATTGAGGGAGAAATTCTAGATGGAAGTTGCTTGAAGATTTTGGCACTACAGTTTCCAAAAATGGAAAGAAATGAAGTGGCCATAACTCGATTGAGGGATGATCTCTTGAACCGAAAATCACTCCAAACAATGATCTCAAGGCCATTTATAGGAATTTGGTGGCTGATCGTCTAAGGGAAGTCAAATAATGGTACATTTAAGAGCCATGGAAGAGGCATGGAAAATTTTTGCCAAAAATGGGAAGTCAACATTAAAATGGGGCATAATTCACCAAATTCAGCACCATTTTCGCTCAAATTTGTCGTAAAATGATCATGACAGGAACTTTGGCGATTTCACAGAAGAAATTTGGACCAAAATAGTGGAGAAACGGTCTAATTTGATGGGTTTTGGTTGTGGATGAAGAAGGAAGCATTCCCAAGGGCAAATCTTCAAAAATTCGAAATTTTGGGTATCCTTTTTTGTCATTTTCAGTGTAGCTCGAATTTTATTTTAGTAATCCACCCTTGTTTAACCCCATTTTTAATTTTCCACCTACCCAATTATTGATTTTTCATCCATGTTTACCCACTACCATATACACTCACTTAAGCCTCATTTTGAAGGGTAGGACAATTGAGATTAAGAGCCAACCCTAGAGAGAAAGTATACTCAATTTCTCCAAATTACCCCTATGCCTCTCCTATACTACTCAATTTACCTTTACTTCTTTCCAAAATCCCCAAAATACCCCATAAGCCCCAAAAGAACCTAAAATGTCCCAAGAACTCACTCTCAGCCCTAACCCCTAGAAAACCTAAAATCCAAGAAGGCCCAATTCCCAAAAGTACCCAAAGCTTCCAAACATCCCAAACTTTGGACCTTTTCACTTCTTGCCCCTAGCCACAGAGTGGGTAAGGGTCAGTCAGGTCTTGAGCATACTCTGATTGCTCTGGGAAGCGAGGTTCTTCAGCTGGCTTGAGGGTTACCCTCACCAGGTCTGATACTGTCTCCCATCCATGGTATTTTATAAATTAGATGTCTAGCGAATGTCCCCACCTTGTACGTGCTTTCTTTTAAGCAATAAAAGATTGTCACTTTAACTATGTGCCTTTGGTTACTGGTTTTAATCGGGCTATTGATTCAATCCAACGTGCACATACAAACACCTTTTAAAAGCGACACACTAGTCTGATCGTAAGTTTTTCTGTGTGTTTTGGTTGGGTCGTTGTTGCTTTCAATTATAATGTGGAATACTTGGAATGCTATTTATTTATATACATGAGAATAAACATGCATTGAAAAGTCGCTTTCCACTCTTAGGATGTCATATTTTTTCATAGCACGTAGATTACGTACAATTGTTCTTTTAAGGATAGGTTGGTCCTGTGATTATTCGTCAATATTGTCTTACCCTATATTAACTTCATGGTCATTGGATTATGAAGAGCATCTAGGCTATGGAAAATGGCAGTCATGAATCATGTGGAGTGGTGTTGAGAATTTTGATAGAGGTTCAAATAAGGAAACCAATACTGTGTGATTATATAACTAGAAAATCTTTATGCAATCAATTGACCAAGATTATAGCTGGGAAAATATCGTGTTGACCATTACAACCATGATATTGTCATTCATTGCCATGCAATCAATGGGTTTGACTGTGATGAAGGTGAGTGGTCTTCATGATATATCAACGAATTGAATCATCCTTACTCTCTCACCCTCTATCATTGTTAGTAACGGTTGATAAACTTATCTTCATATGGTTACGATGGCTGTATGGATCATGTTACAAAGAAGATAGCTCAAGGAAACCACTTGGGATGGGGGAGAGAGAGAGAGAGAGAGTTTATTAATAGAGCAAATTATCTTAACCAATCCCCGAGAAAACTAAGAAACAACTAAGCTACCATCAAGAATTTAGCTTGAAATAAAAATACTTGCTGAAGTTACAAAATTAATGTGAGACAAGTTTCAAGAGGCTTGCAAGTATTCAATGTAGATGTATACAAATTTGCGCAGTTGCACATCTTTTAATAAATTCAAGCATTGCTTTCCCTAAATTCAACCATATTCGAATATTTTTTTTCTTAACTTCAGTGAGATTTTTGAACTAGGTTATGTTTTCAAATACAATTCGTTTCATCGTTAATTACTTGTATATTCCAGAGGATGCACCATATTAAAATTCTCCTTTTCTTCTCATTTTTTA